AGCACCTCTCAGGAGACTCCCGCAGCCTCATCTCCATCATGGGCTCCTCCTCGCACAGCTCCTCCTTCAGCCGCCTCCGCGGGGAGCTGGGCGCCTCGCACACAAAGACGGGGCGGGGACGCCACAGCCCGCCTGCCCAGGCAGCTCCTCTCGCCAGACGGGGCGGGGACGCCACAGCCCGCCTGCCCAGGCAGCTCCTCTCGCCAGACGGGGCGGGGACGCCACAGCCCGCCTGCCCAGGCAGCTCCTCTCGCCAGACGGGGCGGGGACGCCACAGCCCGCCTGCCCAGGCAGCTCCTCTCGCCAGACGGGGCGGGGACGCCACAGCCCGCCTGCCCAGGCAGCTCCTCTCGCCAGACGGGGCGGGGACGCCACAGCCCGCCTGCCCAGGCAGCTCCTCTCGCCAGACGGGGCGGGGACGCCACAGCCCGCCTGCCCAGGCAGCTCCTCTCGCCAGACGGGGCGGGGACGCCACAGCCCGCCTGCCCAGGCAGCTCCTCTCGCCAGACGGGGCGGGGACGCCACAGCCCGCCTGCCCAGGCAGCTCCTCTCGCCAGACGGGGCGGGGACGCCACAGCCCGCCTGCCCAGGCAGCTCCTCTCGCCAGACGGGGCGGGGACGCCACAGCCCGCCTGCCCAGGCAGCTCCTCTCGCCAGACGGGGCGGGGACGCCACAGCCCGCCTGCCCAGGCAGCTCCTCTCGCCAGACGGGGCGGGGACGCCACAGCCCGCCTGCCCAGGCAGCTCCTCTCGCCAGACGGGGCGGGGACGCCACAGCCCGCCTGCCCAGGCAGCTCCTCTCGCCAGACGGGGCGGGGACGCCACAGCCCGCCTGCCCAGGCAGCTCCTCTCGCCAGACGGGGCGGGGACGCCACAGCCCGCCTGCCCAGGCAGCTCCTCTCGCCAGACGGGGCGGGGACGCCACAGCCCGCCTGCCCAGGCAGCTCCTCTCGCCAGACGGGGCGGGGACGCCACAGCCCGCCTGCCCAGGCAGCTCCTCTCGCCAGACGGGGCGGGGACGCCACAGCCCGCCTGCCCAGGCAGCTCCTCTCGCCAGACGGGGCGGGGACGCCACAGCCCGCCTGCCCAGGCAGCTCCTCTCGCCAGACGGGGCGGGGACGCCACAGCCCGCCTGCCCAGGCAGCTCCTCTCGCCAGACGGGGCGGGGACGCCACAGCCCGCCTGCCCAGGCAGCTCCTCTCGCCAGACGGGGCGGGGACGCCACAGCCCGCCTGCCCAGGCAGCTCCTCTCGCCAGACGGGGCGGGGACGCCACAGCCCGCCTGCCCAGGCAGCTCCTCTCGCCAGACGGGGCGGGGACGCCACAGCCCGCCTGCCCAGGCAGCTCCTCTCGCCAGACGGGGCGGGGACGCCACAGCCCGCCTGCCCAGGCAGCTCCTCTCGCCAGACGGGGCGGGGACGCCACAGCCCGCCTGCCCAGGCAGCTCCTCTCGCCAGACGGGGCGGGGACGCCACAGCCCGCCTGCCCAGGCAGCTCCTCTCGCCAGACGGGGCGGGGACGCCACAGCCCGCCTGCCCAGGCAGCTCCTCTCGCCAGACGGGGCGGGGACGCCACAGCCCGCCTGCCCAGGCAGCTCCTCTCGCCAGACGGGGCGGGGACGCCACAGCCCGCCTGCCCAGGCAGCTCCTCTCGCCAGACGGGGCGGGGACGCCACAGCCCGCCTGCCCAGGCAGCTCCTCTCGCCAGACGGGGCGGGGACGCCACAGCCCGCCTGCCCAGGCAGCTCCTCTCGCCAGACGGGGCGGGGACGCCACAGCCCGCCTGCCCAGGCAGCTCCTCTCGCCAGACGGGGCGGGGACGCCACAGCCCGCCTGCCCAGGCAGCTCCTCTCGCCAGACGGGGCGGGGACGCCACAGCCCGCCTGCCCAGGCAGCTCCTCTCGCCAGACGGGGCGGGGACGCCACAGCCCGCCTGCCCAGGCAGCTCCTCTCGCCAGACGGGGCGGGGACGCCACAGCCCGCCTGCCCAGGCAGCTCCTCTCGCCAGACGGGGCGGGGACGCCACAGCCCGCCTGCCCAGGCAGCTCCTCTCGCCAGACGGGGCGGGGACGCCACAGCCCGCCTGCCCAGGCAGCTCCTCTCGCCAGACGGGGCGGGGACGCCACAGCCCGCCTGCCCAGGCAGCTCCTCTCGCCAGACGGGGCGGGGACGCCACAGCCCGCCTGCCCAGGCAGCTCCTCTCGCCAGACGGGGCGGGGGAACGCCACAGCCCGTCCGCCCAGGCAGCTCCTCCCCCCCGACCGGGAGGGGGGCGCGGC